AATAATATCATTTTCAAATTTCTAATTCTGTTTTCAAAGGGTAGCAATGATAATTTTATAACACGATTATCATTAAAAAATGCTTATAATCCTATTTCGCTGTCCAGGAATGCGATTAAAGTATGTAAAATGGGAGATAATGAAACAGTTTACTTCAATATGTCAAATTATTACAATTAATATTATTTTATATAAACTCATATTTATATATATTTAATTTTAAAACAGAATACATCCTCTTTAAGACATACACATACTTCTTTAAATCAAACATTAATATTATTCTATTCAACTTATATTTTATATATTCAAATACAAAAATTAAATTACTTTTTTTTTTTTCAAAATGAGAACTTTTGATCCATCCGCTTAAAAGCGGTTGGATAAAAAAGAGTTTAATATCCAATTTAGTTCCTAAACTTTTCTTTTGAAATTTAATTTCATCTTTTAATTTCATAAGGCACTTAAATTATTCTTAAACTTTATTTTCCCAAAATTTAAACGATCCTTCTATCATGGAACTATATACTTAGCACAGTTAAGTCTTCACCAATCACCTTTTTTTATTTTTACAAGTTTACGTGGACAATACATCTCATCTAATTGATGACATGGCAATATCCAGCCTTCTAAATAAAATTGCAGAGTAACTTGATCAGAAACAGAATTTTCTCGCTTTTGGATCTATATGAGTTGGGTAAGAGCTTGATTAGGACGCAGATGGCACCAGACTTTATTTCCTTGAATCGGCTCTTCTTTGACGTTTTTAAGATCTCGATTACAAACTCCAACGCACATGAACTCGCCTTGCTGCAGATCTCATCGAAAACCAACTCTAACAGAGATTTGAAGACATCTATGCCTTAATCTTGAAGCAAGAAATTCCATTTGTAACTAGAAGTAGCCTTCGCCATTTTCCTAAAAATCATTAATGCATGGAACCTCGCTTCGGCGCTTCCCCTTTGAAGGATAATTGCCATTGATTTCATGCACTTTGTTTTTGACAAAATTTGGAATGTACTGTTTTAATCCTCCGACAAGGGAAGCTTATGCAAAATGCAGAACGCCTCTTTGCACGCTCGGAACACGACGAAATCAAGAACGTCGATTAGAATCTAAACGATTATTTGAGCAAGAATTTCAACGCCACCAGATCGGATGAAATCTGATTTAGTCTCGTCCCCAATTTCGACAATGGATTAGAGCTTTTTCAAGGCAGTAACCTTAAATGGAGAGGATTCGACTATACTGAGGAGGGAGACCAGCTCGTCGTGCTTGGCAGAGAATGACGGAGGTGGAGGAGGAGATGAGGCAGATTAAGTGTTCTACCAGGAGAGGATGAGTCGCTTGAGGGTGTTATTGGGAGTGACGTGGAAGCTGTGGACAAATTGCATGGTACCTGTTTTATTGTTTTATTTTATTTAAAAGGTTGGATATTGCCACGTCATCAATTGGGTGAGGTGTATTCTCCATGTAAATTTCTACAAAATTATAAAAAGTAATTAGTGGAGACTTAACTGTGACAGATATGTAGTTCTGTGATGATCATTTGGGTCAAAAAAATAAAGTTTAAGGATTATTTGGGTGTTTTTTGAAGTTAAAAAACGACTTAAATTTAAAAAAAAAATTTAGAAATTAAATTGGGTATTAAACCTAAAAAAAAAATATTGCAGCGCATTTTTACATTAAAAAAAAAAAAACAATCTCGTTATCTGCAAATAGACAAGCTTGGTTTGAGAATTAGCTCCAATGAAGTAGAGTTGTCTCTGTTCTCTCTAAAAAAAAAAAAAGAAGAATACCATTGTACGGTAAGAAATAAAAAAAAGCTCACTTTGTTGTCATATAATTATAATTAATATTATTTAATATAAATTTACATTTTTTTATATTTAACACTTTTTTTTTTTTACCAGGTAGATGGTTAGGAAGTTAGTAGAGTTAGTTTGTTAGCAGCTGGAATTTTTTCAGGAAAGTGAACGTTCCACCCCCTCATTTGAGGCGCGCGACCATTAGGTCGCAAGTTGGTGGAGTTCACGGCGGTGGCAGAGCTCGAAGTCCTGACCTCCGCCTCACCCAAGCCCTAAAGCTTGGGGGCCAACCAATTGGGCCACAGGCCCGGTTGGCTTTTTATATTTAACACTTAAAACTAAATGCCTAATAAAACACATTAATCTCTCCAATTCAATGCTTCCTTAAAAGTCACGCTAATATTCTTTTTTTTTTTTTTTATACTTACTGTCAATGCTATTTAAATCAATTTTTACGCCTCTTAAGATTATTAGTGTAAGGATAAGTTCGAGGTTAAAGACCTCGGACATACTATAACAATTCCTTGATAACTGAAGTACTATAACAATTCTTTGATAACTGAAGTGAAGTTAAACCCAGCATTTCTGGTAAAACGATTGCACGATAAATACAGTTGGCATATCCACACCTGATTTATTACATAACTCTTCGGTTTCGAATTTGTAGCCAGTCCCGAGTTTATCTCCTTAAGGAACATGTCACACTCCGATTATCTTGCTTGGCATGCCACATGGGTTCCTCATTGAAGCCTATAAATACCCCTCAAGGGCCACATCAAAAAGGTAATTGAAACCAACCCTAAGCTCATTTTATCTCTACTCTAAAGGTAGTCCCGATTATTGTTGACTTAAGCATTGGAGTGTCTACCCCAAGGACCCACCTTGGGGCTTTGCAGGTCAATCCGGAGTGCCGATACGGGCTGAAGAAGGACTTCTGGTTTGGTGCAATTACATTTGGCGCCGTCTATGGGAATCCGAACTGAAACCTTTCTTATTGCTCTTTCATCATAGTTAACACTCGATCAGTCCGAGCTAGCAATTCATCTCTGCCTCTTGGGCAAGGTCAACTCCCCAACAACCTTCCACCTCAGCTCCCACCTCAGCTTCCACCTCTGATCCCAAATATGTTCCCTCTTATTGATCATGCAGAAGGAGGAGATGAAAACCAACCTCATAACTCAGCTCACAACTCAACTTCTATTGCCAACCATGACATAGTTGCAGCTCAGCTTGCTACCATGCAACAACAGTTTGGTGTCTTCCAGTTAGTATTGGCTCAGCTTTTACCTCGAAACAACCCTGGTGATCCTCTCATTAATTTACTCAACCCTGCTCAACAACCCCTACCTCCACAGCAAAACCCTCAACCAGTTCAGCATGCTCCTACTCTTAGTGAATCTCAGGATCAATCTCACATAGCACCAGCTCAGCAACCCCTCCCTGATGAGGTTACTCGACGTCTGGACAGTTTAGAAAAGTTGGTAACTGAATAGCGAGGTGCTCCACCTCCACACCATGCTGTTGACTCTATACCTCATCCTCTGAACACTAACATCATACTGGAACCTTATCTCGCTGGCTTCAAAATTCCTCAGCTCAATACATACGATGGGACAAAAGACCTTGATGATCACCTTCATGCTTTCTATTCTTATATGCAAGTTCAGAACGCCTCTAATGCATTAATGTGCAAGATCTTTTCCTCCACTCTCCGGGCAATGCCCGAACTTGGTACTATAGCTTGCCCACAAGATCTATTATCTCCTATTCAGAAATGACATCTGCTTTTCCCACAAAGTTTTCTAGTAGAAGGTTGATCAGGAAAACTACTTCTGAGCTAATGCGAGTCAAACAGAGGGACAGAGAATCTCTGAAGAATTACATGAGCAGGTTTAATGATGCAGTACTGGAGGTTAGTTCCTTCGACCAAGCTGTGAGGATTGCAGCTGTGATCTCAGGTCTTAACCATGATAGGTTAAAAGACAGTTTGATCAAACATCCTGCCACCACCTTTAGCGAGGTGAATGATAGGTCCATGAAATTTATAACTGCTGAGGAATATGCCTTGGCACAAAACCTAACTCCCTCTAAGAACCAAAACCCAGACTAGAGAGATGAGAATCCGAGCAAGAAAAGGATGAGGATGACACAGAACCGAGGTTTAATGCCGACCTCCACACTGAGATTCGAAAGGCCGAACTCAGCACCTCCACAACAGTCTGCGAGTAAACCCCCAGTTACTTGGACTCCTTTTAATCTGCCGAGGTCACAGATTTTTATGCAAATTAAGAACAAGATGGATTTAAGGCGTCTTGACCTAATGAGAACTGCTGCTGCTAGCCGAGATCATACTAGATATTGTGATTTTCATCAAGATCACGGTCATACAATAGAGCAATGCAACAGCTTAAGGTCTGAATTGGAAAGTCTAGCTAAGAAGGGAATGTTGAATGAGTACATTTAGAGAGCTGAATAGCCGAGGTTTGTTAGAGAACAGAGGCCACAGCCTCAAGGAGTCCGCAATCCACCAAACAGGCAAGGCGTGGGATATCAGCAAGCCCCACCTCCGCTCCCACCACCAGCTAGAATCATACACATGATTACGGGAGGCCTGGAAGCAGGTGGACTGAGCTCTAAACAGCGAAAGTTGTATGTCAGAGAGGTTAAGCATCAAAACCGAGCTAAAAAACGAAAGTTTGACGACGCTGACTGGAAGAATCAACCCATTACTTTCACATCTGCTAATCTCGATGCAGTCGTCACACCTCACAATGACCCTCTAGTCACTTCTGTCATGATTAACAATTGCGAGTGTAGCGTGTCCTTGTTGACACAGGGAGTGCACCAGACATCATGTACTTTCATTGTTTTGAGAGTATTGGGTTGGATCCAGCTTTGTTGCAGCGGTATGATGGCCCCATCTATGGATTCAACAACCAACCAGTTCCAGTTGAAGGAGTCCTAACCATGAATGTTGCATTTGGAAGTGGCCGAAATCATGTGACTCCTTCAGTTCGGTTTCTAGTAGTCAAGATGGCGTCCTCTTTCAATGTTGTCATTGGCCAACCCACGCTGACTGAAATCCGAACTGTGGTTTCCCAGTCTCACCTATGCATGAAGTTCCCAACTCCTATGGGAATAACAACACTACGAGGCAATCAGGAGGTGGCCAGACATTGCTACATCACTTCGGTCACATGACCTCAGAAGGACAAAATCAGACACCCGAGGCCAATCCCTAACAAATTCCTGATAATCAACAAGTTATGGGTGTTGAAATAGTAGATAACTGACCAGAAGATGAAATCAGAGCTGCTCCAGTCGAAGATGTTGAAGAAGTGCCCATTAATGATAGAGATCTGAGCCGAAAGACGCAAATTGGAACTAGATTGAACCCGGAGGAAAGAGCAGAGCTAATAGCTTTTCTTCGAGCTAACAATGATGTCTTCGCATGGACTTCGACAGACATGCCAGGAATTCCAAATTCGGTATCTCAACATAAGCTCAGCACCAATCCATTGAAGAAACCAGTGGCCCAAAAGCGATGTCTCTTCAGGGGGGAGAGGCTTCAGGCTATAAAGGAAGAGGTAGAGAAGCTGCTACAAGCTGGTTTCGTCAGAAAAGTTGATTATTACGAATGGGTGGCTACCCAGTACTGGTGAAAAAGGCAAATGGTAAATGGCGAATGTGCATCGACTACACAAATCTTAACCAAGCCTGCCCCAAGGATTGCTATCCGATGCCGAGCATTGACAAATTGGTTGAAGCGGCTTCAGGTAATGAGAGATTAAGTCTCTTGGATGCATATTCTGGGTATCACCAGGTGCCGATGGCTCTAGAAGACGAAGAGAAAACCTCATTCTATGCTGGCGATGAAATCTATTGCTATGTCATGATGCCGTTTGGCTTAAAGAACACGGGTGCTACTTATTAGAAAATGGTAACCATTGTCTTCCGAGCTCAAATCGGCAAGAATATGGAGGTTTATGTCGATGATATTCTGGTAAAGAGCATAAAAGTAGAAGACCATCTAGCTGATCTCGATGAAACTTTCAACAATCTCAAAAAGAATAGAATGCGATTAAACCCAGCCAAATGCATCTTCGGCATGGAGTCTGGAAAATTTTTTGGCTTCATGGTGTCCCGGAGAGGGATTGAGGTCAACCCAGAGAAGATCAGAGAAATTGCCGAGATGGAACCGCTGAAGTCAGTGAAAGATATACAGAGGTTAACTGGAAGGGTGGCAGCTTTTCATCAGTTCATATCGAAGTCAGCAGATAAATGCCTGCCATTTTTCAAGA